GAAATATGTGAGATTGGTATTCTCAAGCCACAGAATGACCTTACATATTATGACTTTTTGCAGTTAATAACGATTCTCTAATTTTGAAGGCCGCTATCAACTCTTTCAGAAACTCATAGATTTGTAAATATATCATGGCGATGGAATGCATTCTTGTGTCCCGACTGATGACGACTATAAAATATAGCGAACAGTTTCATATTCTGTCTTTAGAATAGGAATTTAAACATCACGTAATAATTATGGTCTTGTAGTCGTTTTTTGGTTTTTTTTTTAAAATTGTTAAGTCATGTCAAACGGTGACGCCAAATTCTTATCTGGAGAGCATGCGCAATAAATACCATCGATGTAGACTGTTATAACCAGACGCTAGAGCTTGCCATTCGATTGAGACTTCTGGCGTATTTCGCCGAATGTAAAACAGTTTATATACATTCATATTAAATTATTATATGCGTTGATACCCATTTGTGTCAATTTCTAGGTCCCAAATATTAGCGATTTAGCTCGTTTAAACTGACACAAATGACCGGATAAGAATCTATAGGCATATAATAATTATTAGAACATTACTGTACAGTGGACAAGAAGTTTCTAGACGAATTTTAACGTTTTACAAACATGTTACATAAAACGTTGTGTTCCACACACACACGCTCAATATTTTTTATTTCTTTGGCTTTGCGTAGTAAACGTAATTAAAAAGTTTATGACCAGTAACACGGAATTTATGCCGAGAGAAAGATGAAAGGCCAATTACATACGGACTTGGAAATATTTACTTGGCTTATTAGCTGAGTTAGAATGTGTGACTACTCTATATACACTGTTACATACTACCATATCAGTTAAAAATTAGAACAGATTGTTGGGCTTTCAATAAGCTCGCAGGTATGTTGTTTTATCATATTAAATATTTGAATTTTTTTCTTGTATCCAGCTGGTTTCTCTCCATCTCTGATACATTTGTATAAAATATCAGGAATGTTGTACGGTTGGTGGGAAATACTATATAGATGATTAGATGATATATGTGAACCGGTAGCTAAGATAAGTTTTGTTTCTACAAAAGTGGTTTGTCGCAATTAAATATTCATTAAAAATCACATATAATTCGTACTTGCTTATTAATTATAGTCATATGGGAGCAGGGCTGGATTAAGAGCTATTTGGACTTGGTTTCATCCATTTTCCGCCTCTATTGTTGAACTTGTTAGAATCACATTAAATGGTTCTACTTAAACTGGCTCGGTGTTTCATCGAGGCAGTTCAGGAAAATTGAATACCTTTAAGGGGGTGTAGGTTTTAATGTCATTTCTTGTGGGCAATAATTCATCTGCACCATGGTAAATCTGGCACTGAAAAAAATACGTGATGTTTATTTTGTTTTAATTGTTAATCCAGGGCTGTTAAGGATACATTATGTACGATTTAGATAAAGAGCTTGTCATTCTTGCTATACTAGTACAAAAATAGATAATGCGAAATGGGTATATTGAACTTAGCCTCGCTTTGCCAATTTGTTTTTTAAAAAATCATTAAATGGCAACCGTGTTTTAGCCTGTTTAAATCTCCGCGTTCCTCTGGTATAGAGAGTTGATTGAGAGTGGTGAAACTTGGAATATAGTTTCCGTACACAAAACTCGCAGTATAGTTTCAGTACATTAATACCTTGACTAAGTTCAATGATGACCAATTTGAGTGGTCGAGACTTTGGAGCTCGATAACTTTGATTCTAATTGAGCGAGAATGGTCCGTTCGTTTGACACTTTACCTCATCGATCAGTGCCTGAAATACTGCCAGGCTGCATTTCCGGCAACCCGTTTTTCAAAAATTTCTGGGGGAGGCCCCCTACCCCTAGTTGAAGCTCGTGCCTTTGCCCCCTTAACCTTGGACTTTGCCCCAGCTTTGCCCCTCCAAAACCGACGGTTGGCGCCGCCTGTGTTTGGAGCTCGACAACTTTGATTCTAAGTTCGATAAGTGCATTTCTAATAGTTTCACTACATCAATACCTTGACTAAGTTCAATGTTTTGGTACATAATAAAAGATATAAAAAGATAAATATGCAATTAAAAAATGTGTGTCATCTAATAAATTTTATAAATTGGCACGGGACACCAGCCTCACTGTTGGTTTTTTTTTTTTAGGGCTATTTTTTTATTATGGATTTTGAAATACATGTAGGCCTATATTTTAAAAATCGGGAAAATTGTTCTCGACACAAAAATTGCATGGAATTTATTTTCCGTATTTGAAAATGGAATTTCTGTAAATTACAGGTTAATTTTGTTTCCGGAACCTTTTACGTTTTTTCACGGATTGTTTTGTTACAGTGTTAAGTCCGCTTGGGGTATATATTATAACCGAATTTTGTTATTATTGGTGACAAATGTATATATCTACCGAACATCAAGATATCCACCACTCTATAATAATCATAATACTTATCCTTGGTTGGTACAATCTTTCATTTCATAAAACAAATCTGTCGGAAATGAATTGTCAGGGCTACATTTGTAAATTGGTGTGAGATATTCCACTTCCTGTAATCAAGTACATGTACTCAAACAGTTTAATATATGACATTTAGTACGCTCGTGCCTGGTTTTGTTGCTAGGGATACGGCTTTTTACGAATTTTCAAACTTGTCATAATAAACTTATTTTAAGATATTATTGGCACACTGTCTCAAGTAAAAATGCAAATAGGTTGTGGATATGCCGCATTAACCGTAATTTCTGAGTAATATGATACAAGATAGTAAATATTATACCTAACCTCTATTTCAAAAATTAGGCCTAACAATGAAAATTGGCACGTTGCACATTAGACAAGTTGTTCATTAAGAGTGATAAAGTAGAACTTCTGTATACGAGCATTAATCTAGTAACAAAACTTATTTCAAAAGAATGAAAAAAGCGGATGAAAAAGATTAAGATTGAATTCCCTCTCAAGTTTGAATATACATTTGGGGAATAGATGCACTATCTCATTTAATAGAGAGATCTTATTGTACACACCTCCACTACTTGCATCCGTTATAGAAAAACAAATATTGTAAACCCTCTGTTGATGATAACGCATTCAGGTATTTATAAAACGATGATTCGGGGTTACCAGTGAAAAGGTTTTCTTTTTATTAAGAAAATTTCATTTAGTGTGAATAATTAATATACTGGTATGTTTGGGTTTTCACCTCTTGAGTATTACAGGTATTGAAAATGAATCTTATACAGTTGAAGTGGCGTTCTTTTTTGTATTAAATACTTAGCTGAATTATAAACAGCATAGTCATATCACTCAATATCATCATGCATTATCACATGGATGACGCCATAATGATCAGTCTGTCAAAATCTATATTCTGGGCACATCCCACGATTATTTAACATAACTGGCCCACTGATAACAGTAGCCCCATTAACCTCTAAAATATAGTTCTTGTAATTATTTTGCCAGTGTGTCAACACTAAACAAACTAAAACTGAATGGAAACTTTTGGGCGTTGTTGAATCATCATGCCAGTCCTGACACCGATAACGCATTGTTTTTTTTTCTTTTTAAAAAAAACAACTATGGACACATAAAACAGTGGATTTCTAGTTAAAGAAATTCATAATCCATTCAATTTCATAATGGTGGTACGTGGTAAAATTATGAAAGATTCGAAACGACTATATTATATGATACTCATATACTTACGGCGTACTACATGAACCGTGACCTCATCGCAGTCATGAAAAGCTGATGCCAGTTGTCTCAAGAAGTTTCGTATCGACTTGGCCGGGCCTTGGGGAGGTGGGGGGGGGGTAATAAGAAGATTACCAATTGTGTGAAACTAGTTACTGGCTCAAAAATACAATATGGCCAAGTTTGTATTGGCCTATTAGGTCATCAAATTATTTGTAATATATAGGGTTTAGTTTTTGGGCATTGAAATCAATCTGTACTAAACATCGGAAAAGCTTCGTATTTTTTTCTTCAGATTTGTAATACGCGGTTTAGTATAATGCTACCTATACATTCTACGTAAATCTGACATACTTCAGACAAAAATTGTAACCCCAGATATCACTTCTAAGGAGGGGGAATAATTTGGAAAATATTTTATTGCATATTCTTGGTCGTTCTGGTGTGCTCTATCAACATTATAAAACTAAAACCACAAGAGCAGAAATGTTGTCAATTTCACTGACATTTGTTACATCATCGTCGATATGTTTGAAATCAAGTAAATCTCCATGTTGATTAACCTTTTTTCATGTTCGTAAAAGAAATATTTTACCAGAAGTTTGGTATCGTTTATTTCTTTCTGTTCTCGTGGTATGGCACCATATCAATGTACAAATCCAGTGATTCTCATTCTTAATTGGAATGTTACGCCCATGCTGAAAGCCGTTAGCAAACTGTTCAGTTGTTTCTAAGATAAAAAGCAGTAAACAGAGCGATTACCTTTTTAATATTGCGCAGATTTTCCTTAGCACATTGGGTACTAAAAGCGGTCTCAACGGGTGTGTTTTTACAGATGTCTTATATTACACAAACTACGTAGTCTTTTCAGTTACAAGGCAAATATTATATTTTGGCCCCTATTTATCTATAATTTAAATATTGATTATTGTTTTATTACTTTGGAGTTGTCGTATAGTTTAGGTTATTTGTACAACTATACGCCATAACAAATATAATATCTATATACAATGAAATATACCTCTGCTCTTATTTATTCAGAGGAAAACCAAACAGAAATCATGTTGAATTTCATAGTATTTAGAAATTTAATATAAAAGATAAATATCTATTTTAGTATCATATTGTATAGCACAACAATATACCGCTGGAGTTTTACCTACTGGGATCACTTTCAAATGTACAAATAGAGATAAAAACCAACTTGGTTCATTGTAAATCTTGGTTGGTGGTCGAAGGAAGGTTATGATTTATATACATGTCATTTACTAACACGTATTTACAACTTATATATAAACGGGTGTTATTTTTATATATCTAATTAGAAGAACAATAAGATATGCATATTATAGGGGAAAAAATTGCGTCTGTTTAAATATTTGAATTATTAATCCGAACTGGTAAGTTCATAATTTATTGTTAAGCAATATATTAATTATTTTTTCATCAAATGTAAACAACATGTATTTATGTAGTATGCCTTCTTATTTATTACAGAATACAAAAATGATATTTGAAAAAATGACGATGTGTTATTTGTTACTGTTAATACATGTAATTCACTCCATACAAGCAGATGGTAATTTTATAATTATATAATTTATATATGTATATTACCTTACACGTCTTTTAGTTCAAGCCATTGAAAGCCCCTAAACTGTTAAAAATAAATGTAAAATTACAGTGAAAAATATGTACTTTCTTTAACATAACGCTGTAAAAATACCACTGCATGTTTTTATACTATAAATGTATCGATTAGTGAGGTAATATGGGGTTACTGTAAAAAAAAAATTGGTAAATTGCCAATAAAAGTGTAGTTTCACACGTTAGAACTGTATTTTTATTACATTTTATCTGTACTGATACAACTATGTTGGTTAAAAGTACTTTAACTGTTTTTATGGGTAATTCTACTATTCAAACATGTTTAAATACGGGATTTGTGTACAATTACAGGAAACGTGTAATTGTATATCTCTTTCGAACTTTAACATTGATAGACCTTTTAAGGCTGCATTACTTTTCTTCTATACTATAGTCCACTTATGAGGGGGTCACGGTGGCTAAGTGGATAAGACGCTGACTCGCCTGGAGGTCGGGTGTTAGATCCCTGCATTGGTCGAGAAAGTTAATCAAGATTTCCCGGCGTGGTTCCCCCTGTCAGTGATGCACAACGGAGGGCCGGACAAGGATAGCTGTCTAGTCGTTCGGATGGGACGAAATACTGAAGTCCCGTGTACACGATGGTGTGCACGTAAAAGATCCCTATTAAACTTTTAAAATTATATGCATATTTACAGTTATAAGTATACTTAAAATACAGTGTCCGATTTGTAATATCACATAGTTTGTTAATTTACATTTAAAACGATGTAAATGCATATGAATACAAAGTTTATGTAAGATTACATTAAACTTAATGTAGAAATACAACCATACGTCAGTTTACATTATGTGAGCAGTATATTAACAGAAATGCCATTTGAAATAGTATTTTTACAACAAATTGTAAATTTACTGTCAAATAGTGTTCAAATCGGTTATTCCCTTCGACCACATGTCGAATTTTGTGCAAAATATTTACTGTTATATCAGTCTGATTAGTCTATTTTAGAGAAATAGGTTATTCAAAATCTGAATGAACCTAACTGGCGTATGGAGACAGTGATATGCCATACATAGGGTTGTGTGGGACATTTTGATTGGTGTCAGCAAAACTTTATGTGTTCGCCAGGATCTAACCTGAGACTACTTAGCCGAGTAGGGACAAACACATTCAAAGTTTATTTCAAGTAAATATACACTTCAAATTGTATTTTTACCGTAAAATGGCTGGCAGAAAGGTGCCAGTAAAATCACTGTATTTTGACACTGACTTGTAAATTTACAGTGAACGTAAATTTACCCCACTTTCTATTTACAAGAACAGGTTATTTTACACTCACTGTAAATTTACATGCTCTTTGTAAATCTAAATCTACCACTTAGGTTTGAATTTACAAGTCAGTGTTAAAATACAGTCAATTTACTGGCAACTTTCTTCCAGCCAATTTACGGTAAAAAATACACAAATATTATTTACAGTGTAAAATAACCAAATTGCCTTTTTGTATCCAGCAAATCAAACTCTATTTACTAAAATTGTGTCACTGAGACGCCCGACCCCCACCCTATTTATTATAGATAGAATTCCTGAACCCTTAAAAGCCAAAATATCACAATTGGCTTTAGGGGTTAAGGGTTACCCTATCCATCGAGCACACTGTCCCCCTAGTAATCTTGAGCAACGTGTGAGTATAGTGCCAAAATATCAGGAGATTTGCCTTTACTATCCTATAGTTACTCCGGCACCTACAAAGCACCACCTATGGTATATCTGATGCAACTTCCCACTTGGGAATTCATGTATAAAATTAGCAAATACTCGTTGTATTTTGTATTTTTAATCAATTTAACCCTTACACAAGATAACCAAACCAGCCATGTTTTAGTGTCACTAAATTAATACAAAATATACCCCATGGCTTAGAAGAATACAGATTAATCGTCTATTTCATATCTCTTTTACCATTTTTTTCTATTACGAGATAGAAGTGGAGATAATAACTGCATTAAGATTTTCTTCTTTGTTATAGATGGATCTAAATGGAATACAGAGGCTCAAAAAGAGTTAGTCGCATCTATCTCTTTAAAACACAATACTAATGTAGCTAGAAATGTTATTTTGTTTCTTGGTGATGGTATGGGAATATCAACAGTATCAGCTGCCAGGCTTTATAAAGCCCAGTTAACCAATGCTGTAGAAGGGACGTCAACTTTATCATTTGAAAATTTCCCTTATGTTGCTCTATCAAAGGTACAATCATTGAATTTTTAAAATAAATGGTGAATACGACTTCTCAATTTAGGAGTTCACAGAACTATTACCCTGTGGTGCTAGCACCATCTAATCGTCATTCTTGTTCTGTTCTCCCTTTTTTTTTCAATTCTCTTCTTGTGGTCAGTTCGTTTATGACCGGAAGCAACCGTCCATCTCCGCAACTTGACGAGACTCGCTTTATACCACATTCGAACGTGTTGGTTTTACGTTTACTGCCAAACGACATGTAACACACTTCACACAGTGAGATGTATGACTGATTCATCTTGGCTACGGAATGATGTGTCGGCCCTGATTATTTTGTCAGTTTAGCTATGTAAATACGATAAGTAAGATATTAATTTCGGATTTAATTCACATGTGTTGAGTAGATAAGAAAAATGAAACTTAGTCCATCAAATTTTGTAGTTTTGTATATAGAATATTCAATTTATGATTTTACCCTTAAATAATGGGGGTGGGGGCGAATGGTTAACGCGTGCGCCTTGGATCATAAGGTCTGTCATTGAGTAAATATTGTTAGTCCCAAAATGACCTAGTTTGTGTCGAGTGGACGCTACCCCCATCTCTCTCTCTCTCTCTCTCTCTCTCCCGGTTTAAGATCCTTTAAATGTATTATGTGTAGGATAAAACACGAGATTGAGGTTATGCTAGAGAAAGAAAGACTGGAGAAAATAACCGGAGAAAAAGAAAAACTGAGGCGGGCAGCCCGAGGTTATTCTGTCGCGGGTTTTTTTCTGAAGTCTTTCTTCCCCAGCATAACCGAAGTCGAGGACTTTATCTTGCTTATAAATCGTCTATGGAAGAATAACCTGTTACAGTTTTAAAGAAACACTTTCAGAAGAATATCCCCAAATTCCCCCGTGTATATCCAAAGCCGCCCCCGACTTTCAGACCCCAAGTTATTCCGGGCATAGAATATACCCCAAAGATCAAAGAGATTTACCGTTAAAAGTTTAAAAGAACATATAAATTAATGTTTTTGGGGTCATTCTTTCATTTGAAGATATGCCCAGTGGTGTTAACTGGTCACTTAAAGTGGTGAAAGTTGGTAAAATCCAAGATGGTCGACATTTACCTTATGAATGGACAAGAAAATCCTAAGCGGTTGCTTATATGAACATATAAATTAATGCTTTTGTGGCCGTTTTTTCATATGAAGATATACCCAATGGTGTTAACTTAGCCCTTATACTATTTTTAGGGGTACCCCTACGCACCACAACCTGCGAGCGACAACCCAAATATACGAATAGACTTAATTATAATGCACTCTTTCTTCATAATATAACAGCTTTCTAGTGTTATGGGGTCAATATTTCATTTGGAGATATGCCCAGAGTGGTTCTATAAACCAATTTCAGGGTAGCCCCTACCCTAAAACATATCTCAAACCCAAATTTACGAATATGCTGCACTACTTCATCACATAATGGCATATTTGGAATGTACATGTTTTTAGGGGGATACCCCCAACCCCATAACCCACTGCCGTGGAACATGAGTGACGCAAGACAAACAAATAGATGTGAAAGAAATTATTTACCAATGCTCTACAAAGAATGAAGTGTACTGCCATCAATGATTTCAAAAACACACGGAATGCTTTTCAATAACTGCGCAACTTTTACTAAATTAATGCTTTTGTGGCCGTTCTTTCATATGAAGATATACCCAATGGTGTTAACTTAGCCCTTATACTATTTTTAGGGGTACCCCTACGCACCACAACCTGCGAGCGACAACCCAAATATACGAATAGACTTAATTATAATGCACTCTTTCTTCATAATATAACAGCTTTCTAGTGTTATGGGGTCAATATTTCATTTGGAGATATGCCCAGAGTGGTTCTATAAACCAATTTCAGGGTAGCCCCTACCCTAAAAACATATCTCAAACCCAAATTTACGAATATGCTGCACTACTTCATCACATAATGGCATATTTGGAATGTACATGTTTTTAGGGGGATACCCCCAACCCCATAACCCACTGCCGTGGAACATGAGTGACGCAAGACAAACAAATAGATGTGAAAGAAATTATTTACCAATGCTCTACAAAGAATGAAGTGTACTGCCATCAATGATTTCAAAAACACACGGAATGCTTTTCAATAACTGCGCAACTTTTACTAAAATACGCGCCAATCTCAGTTTGTTGGGCTATACAACATCATAGTTTGCATCAGATTTACTATCATAAATTCTGCGAAAGTTCAATACAAGTGGCTGTTTTATGCTGCACATGCTATCTGACATAAGGGCGTGGTTTTTTTTTCCATTTCAATGGAAACCCCATTGTGTAATAAATCTTGGAAGTTTACATGAGAAAGCGATTCATTGACACATGGGAACTTACATGGGAACTTACATGTCAAAATCAATATTATTTACCAATACTTTTTGGATGATTTTAGGTACCGTACCAAGAATAAATGCAACTGATTGTACAATATGATACACAAAAAAATGGTAGTTTATATTAGTAGAACAGTACTATCTCATATTTTAAACGGTTGACTTTACTATAAATTATACCATGTAAACTTTCAAGAAGTAGTACACGATGGCCTTTCCATGCAGTATAACAGAAATGAAACAGACACATTCTTATTGCAGCATGAAATGAAATGAAAGGGAGTTTAACGTCCTAACTGTTCTGCTCCGACTGGGCTACACCATAATTGTGCTATGAGGGAAATTTTGTCAAAGCCCTCTGTCCCGCACCACTGACAAGGGTGAACCACGCCGGAAAATTCCGATGAATTTTCTCGGCCAACACCGGTATCGAACACGTGAGAGGGGTTTTACATAGGCTAAGCCAACGTCTTACTCACTAGTTGAGGTTCCATGAAATGTACAGTAAATCTGATACAAACTACAACTTTGCAACTTTGCATAGCCCAGCAAACTGAGATTGGTCCTTAATTTAGCAAAAGTTGCTAATTTAATGTAAAGCAACTCCGCGTGTGTTAGAAATCATAGATGGCAGCGCGCGTCATTCTATTTAGAGCAAATTGGAAAATAATTTCTTGTCCATATTTCTGCTTGTCTTGCTTTACTCATCTTTTACGGCAGCAAGTTATGGATGAAAGGGTACCCCCCCCCCCCACACCAAAATAAAAAAACATGTACATGTCAGTATGTGATGAAGTAGTGCAGAGTTACAAATATTCGTATACTTGGGTTCGCGGCCACATGTTTTGTGGTAGGGAATACCCCGAAAATGGCACAAGGGACCGCTTAACATCTCTAAGCATCAAATGAAATAATTGTGTTGAAGAAGTGTGGAGTTGTGCCTATTCGTAAATGTAGGTTCTCTGTGAGGGTAGGGGTACTCCCAAAATGGTATAAGGGACCAGGTAACACCATTGAGTATATATATCTTCAAATGAAAGATTGACCCCAATAACATTAATTTAGAGACCAAAACAGCTATTTTATTATAAAACAGTGCAGAGTCATCCCCCTTTATGAATTTGTGTTCTGGGCCTCAAGTTTTCGGTGTTCATAAATTGACTTGTCTAATACAATAAAACCATTGTCCTTGATCATCACATTTCTAACATTGACATCCCGAAAGAAATGAATTGTCATAAATTGCCAAGAATTTGAATGGCAATCAAATTAAAGAAGTACGACCAGGAAAAACTCCAGTCTAATTATTGTTCCGTTATTTTCTCCATTTGGTTAAAAGACGTGTTCATCAATAAGCAGGTTGGGAATGGTCCACTGACTCAACTTACCAATTCAAATGTGTGACGTAGACAACTCTCCAAAATCTTTTTCAAAGTCAAAGCTGCATGGTGTCTTAAACTTGTCTTTAGGTATAAATTAAACTAAGATAACGACTAGTTTTAATTAGATTGAAAAAAAAACAGATATCATATTATCGATGACAGCATGCCAAATATCTGTGAACTATATGATGCATGTTGGATTTTCTTAGTATCCACCCGATATATCTATATTGTGTTTTCAGACATATAATGTAGATAGACAGACGCCCGATTCTGCCGGGACAGCGACAGCTTTTCTCTGTGGTATTAAAGCTAATGCTGGTACAGTAGGTGTTAATAGTAACGTACCAAGAACAGACTGTTTAAAAGAAAAGGGAAATAAAGTAGATTCTATATTAGACTGGTCGAAATCAGAAGGTAACTCGTTTTTATTTTCGTACCCATCTGTAGAATCAAGTCATAGCAACGTTAATCTTACAGCCCACTGGATAAAAATGTGATAAACACTGCAAAAAGTGAATTGTGAACTAATAGTTTATCGGAGATAATAGTGTGGTTGTGGTTGTGGTTAATGGTATTGGACTGATGGATCTGGTCTCAAGAAATAGATTACTCATTATTCGTAACTAATGTAGTTTCTTGTCCTGTACACTGTGCTTTTTTATAAGAAATCCAGTTTTATTCTTACAGCAATCAAAATTTTAAACATTTTCTCTGGGATATATAAATATATATGAATTTCTGTAGGTAAATCCGTTGGTGTGGTTACAACATCGCGAGTAACTCACGCCACACCAGCGGCTTCCTATGCCCATACTGCTGAGAGAAACTGGGAAAATGATGGTAATATGGATGGTGTGCAAGGTGGTTGTTCTGATATAGCTAAACAGTTGCTCATAGACAATTCATTTATACAGGTTAGATTTTTAAGATTTCGGTAAATGTATCCTCTCTTAAAGACGATTATTGTTGTGTTGTTAAGACACAGTATTCATACCTATAGATGAAATTCTCAAACTTTTGTTATTTTTCAAGCCTGGTTCCTACAATGACCTTGAATCCATATTTTATTCTAGAGAAAGTTTACGAGACGCTAAACTCAATGCATTTCCTTTCTCTCGTATATGTCTATTGGTGTCTGACATGGGTCCCTTTCCTGTCAATTAACAGATTTCACTCAATAATATTATCTAATAATATCAGTCTGATTAAATTGGAAATATTAAGAGATAAAGTATTCATAAATGTATGATGTTATTAATAGATTAAATCTATACAGGTTGTAATGGGAGGTGGCAGATCCAATTTCATCCCAACATCAGATGGTGGATATAGAAAAGATAACCAAAATCTTATTCAGGTGAATCGAATTTAGACTAAAATTTTCATTTTGAATACAACAGTATAAAGAAAACTATTAGCCGGTGGTAACCACACTCTGTCCCTACACAACACGGGTCATTTACTGGATTATGATGTCATAAGCCACTTTACTTTGTTTCGTTATGGAAAATATCTAAATAGGCCTATACCGAGCACCACGTCATATAATATTAAATAATGCCCTGAGAATTACTTCCTATATCAATTAATAAGATGTTGTGACCTTATCTATTTCGTACCTGGTTCATATTTTCTTTTAGCCTCCACCCACAGGTTACTCGATCAAAACCGCCCACCACAACAGTTACAGATACACTCCCACGAAAGTATTTATCGGGTCGTTATTTCCAATACCCCAATCTACTAGAAAAATACTGGATTCCCTGAAAAACACCCACGGGGCGTGCACAAGACAAAAATGTATGGGTATCCCTAAACGACAGGTTGTCAGTTTAGCTGTCTGCTTTAGTGACGTGAGGGGTGCTTCTTATGTGTGGATCTGCGATTAAACAGCGGAAAAAGAAATTCAATGAGGACAGTACAGAAATTTACTTAGGCTTCGATCTTTGGAAAATGACTAACGAAAAATCCAAGATGATAATAGATTCTCCCTCAAGTCACGTGATAAACACGGATGATTAAAATAGATTAGAGTAGTTTTAAAATCTTTCAATGACATCTAGAAGCACGGTTAACTATTCATAACAAAACACAACACAAGGTATTTATGGATGTAACTACTTCTCTATTATTTAATAACGACGTTTCGTAACACATACAGGTCACGTTTTCAAGTTAATGATAAATATTCATATAAATAGGCTGACTAGATGAATATCTATCATTAACTTGAAAACGTGACCTGTATGTGTTACGAAACGTCGTTATTTAATAATAGAGAAGTAGTTACATCCATATATACCTTGTGTTGTGTTTTGTTATGAATATTGTAGTTATCTTCAGATTAAAATGTTTTGAGAGGGATTCGTAGCAAAACTTTGATAGATAAATTAGTTTGAATTTGTTTTTAGTCCAAATATATCATCAAATCACACAGTTTGTGCGTGGGAAGACATCTTTAATACCCATATGTCTTAGTCTAATTATGATTATGCCCAAGAATTTAGTTTTTGTCTTCAAGGAAGAGTGATCACGGCCAAGTTTCAGAATTAAACGTCTTGAGATTGAACAAAATTTGTCAGAAATGCCAAGACCTTGGCCGTGGGTGACAATCTCATATAATATTGTGATTGTTACAGGCGTGGAAAACAGCTCAGATGAAAAATGGTCGTAATGGAACTTACGTGACAAGCAAGACACTATTAGATACAGTGGATACAATCAAAACAGATAATTTGCTAGGTATTATATTTATTTATTTTATTTTAAGAGGTTTATTGGTCTCGGTTTATCTTTCCAGTGAATTCTTCTGATACTATGGAACTACAAATTACGTCCCCTCGACACATATGGTTGAACTTTATTTCAATAATTGGCTGTGGAAGGAAAGGGGATGCCATGAGAAAACCCACGAGGTTAAACAGGCGACCCTACTCTTTGTCACGTACATTGACAGCCCCCCCCCCTCCCCCGTCCCTCGCACAGTAAATTAGAAGTTGTTTCTCTATGCAGATCAGCAATTCAACGTTCCACTAAGTATATATTTTTATTTTACTACAATTTCTCTTTAAAAAATCAATCCAATAATACATTTTAAACAAAATTTATTCTGTGGGTCAAATTGAATATGATGTTAAATTGAATACTGATGAATTTTTTTTTTTATATAAATCTTCTTTAAATCTTGAGATTGTTCAGATTTTCACAAATTTTAATGTATTAGGTTTATTTGCTGATTCCCACATGGATTATTCGATTGATCGCCAAATCAGCAACAATTCGAATGACCAACCAAGTCTAGCAGAAATGACTAAAGTCGCTATCGAAATACTGAAGAAAAGTTCCAAGGGCTTCTTCCTTTTAGTGGAGGGTATGTATCCAACAGTTGTCAGTTGTGTATTTGTGGTATTTAAGGTGTACTAGGAATTTTAGACACAATGTCAAATGTTGTTACTGTTTTTGTAATCAAATTATAAGATTATTTGGCGTCATTCTGATATTCATTTATAAATAAAGGTTCTCAATGCAGGGCTATCTTCACGCCCGTTCAATCAATGCGCCCCCTCACAGCGCAATTAATTTCACTTCTCTGCTCCCCTAACAATGGACCGACTGGATTCGCGAAATAAAACATTGAATATGATATGGGAAATAAACACAATATTAGTATAATTATAAAACATAGGGAAATAAATGATATAGCTCTGTTTCATTGTTTCAGGAGCACGTATTGATCATGGTCATCATACAAACCAAGCTAGGCGAGCTTTACATGATACAGTAGCTTTTGACGAGGCTATAAGAACAGCTATAGATAATGTAAATAATGAGGAAACATTAATAGTTGTTACAGCTGATCATTCACATGTATTTGCTATGGCAGGTTATCCTCAAACTGGTAATGATATATTAGGTACGTAACCAAGAATGAATAAGTTCATTAGGTGTTTCCGACCTTCGGTCGAAACACGTATTGTTTTCGTAAGAGTTTTTATTAAGTGTTTCGGTAATTTGTGGAGGGGGGGGGGGATTTAGTCAGAGTTTGCAGCCAAAACTGTACATTGTGCAAAACATTCTGCTAACGTAGATATTGTTTACCTAGGTGGAACTATTTATTTAATATAAATTGGGTCAATTTTGACAAAAATGAATAGTTTTACGGATAGGACAAAATATAGCCATATCTCTGATATTTCTAAACGGATCTTCATCGGATTCGGATTTTCATTTTTAGAATCTTTACACGAATCCCATAGGAGCTCTCACTGAAAGTTTTTCGAAATCCGGAAGTTTGCTCGATTAGTTTTACAATCAACGATTTGCGAAAGTTTTCTACGGCATTTTTTTAATATTCAAGATGGCGTATCTCCGTCACTATTTGAAAGTTGAAACTTATTAGGAATAAGGAACATGTCGATGCCTTCAAAATTGTGACGGCTTTCGGAAATTAACGAGGCCGGCTGATTTTTTCCGAACATGAATAGTTCTCTCCATTTTAAAAATAGACTAAAAATGACATATGTAGGTGTTAGCCCCAGATGCTATCTTTCATTTTCATACACCTTGTTCGATAACATTTTCGGTTTTGACCTACTATCTGGTGATCTAGCCGATCAATGACCCTTGACCTTTGCATATATGATGTCGCTGACGTCTACTAACAACTTATATCATAAAGATCTGTCTTGAAGTATAACTTCCGGTTTTATTAAGAGTTCAAAATAAGAGGTTTTTCCACTTTAATAAGTATTGGATGTTACTATAATGAATAGTTCATGGCGTAACTTGATTGTTGACGTGGCCTCAAAACTGTGCATGGTGCAAACATTCTGCCAGCGTAGATATTTTTGGCCTCCGTGAAACTATTTATAAAATATAAATTGGGTCATTTTCGACAACAGGAAGTGTTTTACGGATGGGACAAAAAATAATCTCAGATTGACCATATGTCGATTATGTTCGTCGGGTTTTCATTTTTGGATTCTTTAGACGAATCCCATAGGTTATTTGACTGACGGATTTTGGAAATTCGGAAGTTCGGTCGATTAGTTTTGGCATCAACGATTTGCGAAAGTTTTCGTCAGCATTTTTCGACATTCAAGAAGGCGTATCTCCGTTAGTATTTGAGGTATCAAGTTGAAACTTAATAAGTATAAGGAACACATAGCTGCCTTCAAAATGGCATATTAAACAATTTTGTGACGGCTTCCTGAAATTACCGAGGGCTTTCGATTTTTCCCGAACATCTATAGTTGTCTCCATTTTAAAAAAAAACAGCGGCTGCCAGGCAGGATACGCCCACATTTTGCAAGAGATGGATAGAGAACAAGCTAAAAACAAAAACGAGTTTTTGTACAATCGGGGGTCATAATCCAGAAAGTTATGGTCTGAAATGCGCAAATATCAAAAGGAACCGAGATTTTTGGAATATAAAGATATGTTTTAAGTTCCATCAAAATTGGATAAAAATTGTGACCTCCAGAGGGTCCATAACCTTTGAATTACATACTTATTATACAATTTGCATACAAAGAGCGGCCATTTTGTCGGCAGTTTCATTTCGATTTACCCAAAATTCCAATTCAACCTTCATTATGGTGGAATAGTGATTTAAAAGGTTTTTAAAATCGAAAAAAAAATTGTGACCTCTAGAGAATCCACAAGCTAAAAATGTGATTTTTCGACAAATTAGGGACCATAATCCAGGAAGTTACGACCCGATATGCGCGAATATCGAAAGGAACCAAGATCTTTGGGTTATAAACATGCATTTCAAGTTTGTTCAAAATGGGATCAAAATTGCAACCTCTAGAGTGTCCACAAGCTAAAAATGCGATTTTTCGTACAATCAGGAGCCATAATTCGTGAAGTTTCGATCCAATATGAGCGAATATCAAAAACAACCAAGATCTTTGGTTATAACCATGCATTTCAAGTTTCATCAAAATCGGCACAAAATTCTGACCTCCAGAGGGTCCACAACCTTGATATACCAGATATTTACACTATTTGCGTACGAGGGGCGGTCATTTTGTCGGTCAGTTTTGGTCCGATTTTTACGAAATTCGAACTCAACCTTCTTTACTGTGTAACGGCGATACAATCAAACGTATTTGAAATCGGATAATAATTGTGACCTTCAGAGGGACCACAAGCTAAAAAAAAGGTCATTTTTCGTACAATCAGGGGCCATAATTCAGGAAGTTACGATTCGATATGCGCAAATATCGAAAGGAACCAAGATCTTTGGGTTATAAACATGCATTTCAAGTTTCGTCAAAATCGGACTAAAATTGTGACCTCTACAGGGTCCACAACCTTGATATACCATATTTTTTACACTAATCGCGTACAAGCGGCGGTCATTTTGTCCGTCAGTTTTGGTCCGATTTTCACGAAATTCGAACTCAACCTTTATTACGGTGTAACGGTGATATACTAAAACGGTTTTCTAAATTCGATAAAAATTGTGACCTCTGGAGGGACCACAAGCCAAAAACGCGATTTTTCGTACAATCAGGGACCATAATTCAGGAAGTTACGATCCGATATGCGCGAATATCGAAAAGAACCCAGATCTTTGGGTTATAAACATGCATTGCAAGTTTCATCAAAATCGAATCAAAATTGTGACCTCTAAAATATCCACAAGCTAAAAACGCGATTTTTTGTACAATCAGGGGCCATAATCCATGAAGGAACCAAGATCTTAGGGAGATAAAGCTATAATTTCAAGTTTCGTTAAAATCGGATAAAAATTGTGACCTCTAGAGCGTCGTCCGAACGGACGTATAAAAAAGACTAAAAATGACATCCCCAGATATTGTCTTTCATTTTCATAGGCCTTGTTCGATAGCATTTTGAAGCGTTTTGCCTCCATATTTGAACCTACTCCAAATGGCAACAATTCTTAGGGAGCCGATTTTTTTTAAATTTCGATTTTATTTACTTCCGTTTTCACTTTAAAATTTTGTCGGCTTTTGACCAACTAACTGGTGACCTATCCGTTCAATGACCCTTGACCATTGCATATGATGACCCCGACGTCTACTGACAACTAATGTCCAAAAGGCCGGTCACGAAGTATAACTTCCGGCTTTATTAAAAGTTCAAAATGAAACTTTAATAGGTATTGGATGTTACTATACCCAATAGTTAATGGTGTAACACGTCGGTACTGCCTTTACACATTTCTAGTTTTAATTAAAGTAGCTAAGTCTCTAACTCTTCGATATTGAAAACACGAATTATTTGTCTATTTAAATCAATATTGACGTTGTGATGTTACCTGGAAAAGATGGGCTTCTGATATCCAACATTTAAGATTTTACCATTGGTACACGAATCGTGTACCATAATGCGCTTCAGCACCATTTGTAAAAACATACTCGAAGAACGAGGCTACGCATTTTTCACAAGTCATGTTAAACACTGACACCATATTCTTACCTGGAGAGCATGCGCAATAAACACTATCGATGTGGACTGGAATAAATTGACGCTAGAGATTGCCATTGGATTGAGACTTCTGGCTTATTTCGCCGAACATAAATGATTTGAAATTAGAGTAAAAACAGAAACGATTGAATGTAAATCAGTTTATATACATTCATATTACATTATTATATGCGTTGCGACCCATTTATGTCAATTTCTAGGTCCCAAATATTAGAGATTTAGCTCCTTTAAAATTTGTTTGGACTGGGGAATTCACAAAGCTAGCATTGCATCGATATGATGATAGTGCAACAGCAAATATCACCGGTGAATCTGGATTAGCATGTGGTTAATAACCACCAGACAACCACTGGGGTGGATCCAGTTACATTATATTTTTTTTTTAAGTCAACACTTTTTATGAAAAAATGTTTCTCGGCCGTGTGCTTTATCCTTTATCGTCCGATGTGGGACAGGATGGGCACTTAAAGCACGAGATAATGATATAGACATTATGTGATATCACAATTAATGCTTTGACTTCAGGAAATTGAATCACAATGTCAGTGTATTAATCCATAATAAAAACTGACGTCAAACGAGGTGTTGAATTTCTCTGTTTAAAAAGCTCAATGTGTATGTATAAACGCCAAAATGACGATAGAGACCATGGGGGGGGGGAAGATACATTGTCTCAGCTGGCAAACCTCCTCCTGCAAAAATCCCTGGATCCGCCCCTGAAGCAGTTCGATATTTGGATAGTTGCTCTCCGGCGAATCTGTACTAGTATATAACTGGTTATTCTCCTGCATATGACTTGTTTCTCGCCGGCAAATTTGTACTAGCATATGGCTGGTTTCTCTCTTGTGAATCTATACTAGCTTATAGCTGGTTACTCGCCTGCATATACCTGTCGCTTGTTTCTCGCCAGTGAATCTGTACTATAATGGCTGGTTTCTCTCCGATGAATTTGTCCAAACATTTAGTTGTCATTATACTAGTGAATATTTTATTGGTTTCCCACCGTTAAATCTGTTTAAGCATTAGGTGAAATGAAATGAAATAGGGTTTAACGTCCTACTGTTTTGCTCCAAACTGGACTAATGAAGACGGGCATATGCCATACAGTGTGCTATGAGGGAAATTTTGCCCGGACAGCGACACTACGGCCTACTCTTATATCCAATTCCAACTGTCAAGGGATCTTTTACGTGCACGCCAATGTGCACACGGGTCCTCGCTTTTTCGTTTCATCCGACGACTAGACAGATGTCCTTGTCAGGCCCTCCGTCCTGCATCACTGACAAGGGAGAACCATGCCGGAAAATCTGGATGAACTTTCTCGGCCAATGCAGGAATCGAACACCCACTTAGCCACCATGATCCCCAAGCATTAGGTGAATCCGGTAAATCGTTTATACGGTTAGGCTGGAATGCCATACCTGGTGTTTTAAATAGTTTCACGAAATGTTTAGCAATTGTTTGGCTTCCAATTTGATTTTAGTATTTGCCATGTGTTCTAGTTCGTGCAGCGATTAGAGTTTTCTCTGATTCTCGTTTGGGTGTAGTTGTTAGCATTTGCTTACACATTCCCTTTCGATTATCGCTAAAATAATAATATCGCTAGATTATATAATTTGACAAATTATTATATTTTAGACCCTGTAAAACCGATATTAACTAGAACTCCGAAGGAGTACTGACGTGTTTCGGTACGGCAGGTCGCGCCTTGTCACGTCAACAATCAAGTTACGCCATGAATTATTGAGTATAGTAACATCCAATACCTATTAAAGTGGAAAAACCTGTCATTTTGAACCCTTAATAAACATCAGGGTCATCATATATACAAAGATTGAGGGTCATTGAAAGGTTAAGTCACCAGATAGAAGGTGAAAAGCCGAGCACAATTCAAAGTGAAACCTGAAGTAAACGAAATCGAAATTCAAATATCGGCTCCCTAAGAACTGATGCCATGTGGGGCAGATTCAAAACAAAAAAAAGGGTTTTCGAAAATCGGAATCAAAATAGCGGCTGAATATCGATTGGAAGGTTCTTTGTAAAATCCAATATGGTGGCCAAACGGTTGAAAATGAAAGATAATATCTGGGGCTAACACCACTATAAGTCATTTTTAGTCTATTTTTTAAATGGAGAGAGCTATTCATGTTCGGGAAAAATTGGAAGGCCTCGGTAATTAATATGCCATTTTGAAGGCATCGATGTGTTCCTTAAGCCTACCAAGTTTCAAATTGATACCTAAAATACTAATGGAGATACACCATCTCGAATGCCGACAAAATGCTAAAACTAATTAAGCGAATTTCCGAATTTCGAAAAACCGTCAGCCAGAACCCCTATGGGATTAGTCCAAAGAATCCAGAAATGAAATCTGGCAAAGATCCGTTGAGAAATAACTGAGATATGGCCAATTTATAGTTTTATAAATAGTTCCACGGAGGTCAACCACATCTACGTAGGCAGAATGTACAGTTTTGGCGGCAAATTCTGACTAAAATCGGCTAAAAAAATGAAAATATAATAAAAACTTTTACGAAAATAATACGTTCCATCAATGGTGAAATCATAAGTTGTACAAAGTGTGCGTGCTATATTTCTATATTGTAGGCTTTGTGCATCCAGTAGCTAAAGATTACGGACCTACTGATGGTCTACCCTATACAGCTCTGATATATGGAAATGGGCCTGGTGGAGACTCAGAAAGTGAAATAAGCAGACTGTCTGGTTTGCCCCGCAAAAATCTCACCTCTGTTGACACACGTAAGTTACAATGAATTAGAAAACAATTCGTTCAAAAACGTTGTGTACTAAATCAAATTGGCATTAGAAAATCGGAGCCAACGCCGGAAGGCAAGGTTAACTTTCTATTTCTTGAACATCTGATACCACTACTCATTTACCGAGTTCGTATAAGTAACAACTTTCGCATATGACTCCATATCCAAATCTCCACTTCCTTTAACTATAAGCAATGATGGGTGTCGTGCACGGTGGCTAAGTTGGTATGGTGCCGGCTCACTAACCAAAAGGCCACGGGTTGGAACACGGTGTAGGCCGAGAAAATTCATGTGGATTTTCCAGGTTGGTTTCCTATTGTCAGTGGTTCAAAACGGGGGAAATTGGCAATGCAAATCGTTGAAAACCCGAAGGTCTATCCGTGTAAAGGGGTAAACTATCCCGCCAAAACTCCCCCCATAGCAGACAGCATGGCCTATACCCGCCTGTATTAGTCCGATTGCGCATTAAACCCCATTGTATTTTCTCTTTAGTGGAACAATATTGTTTACCATTTTAAGTCAATTGTGAAATATATGCATATACTATAATCTATTTGCACTTTGAAGTTTGAATTGTTTGGGTGGAGAACGAGGATAATTATTTTAATTTTTCTCCGTACGGACCACTGTCTTGTAGCAAACAACCTTTTGTTGGCTAACACTAACGGATAAAAACATCAACCTGCCTGATAATACGGCCGTCCAAGGGAGCATTAGACGCCCCACATTTTCGAAAAGAATTTGACTTTTGCATCAGCTGGATGATTTGTATACGTCCACATGTTGCCGTCGCCCCTGTCTGTGTGTATGGGTATGTGTGTGTGTGTCTGGTTCGCCTACAGGTCGCAATTCTTAACTGATCGCCTTGAAACTTTACATACTTATTCCTTGTACCCTAAGGATGATCCATACTGTTTTTTGTGCCTGCCCGACCCCCAGGGAGAGAGCCACGCCCATTTCTTGTATTTGTTTGTTTGTCGTCTACAGGCCGCATTGCTTAACGTATCATCTTCAAACTTTGCATACTTATTCCTTATACCCCAAGGAACACCCCTATTGTTTGTGGTACATGCCCAACCCCCAGGGGCCGAACCACGCCCATTTTCTTTTTGTGTGTCTATGTGTCGCCTACAGCCCGCAATTTTTTTGTCTTGAAAACGTCTCATACTTATTCCTTATGCCCTACCCCAGGGGCAGAGCCACGCCTATTTCCTGTATTTGTTTGTTTGTATTCTGTATACCCAATTTTTGTGTTTATCGTATACAGGCCGCAATTCTAAATGGATCAGCTTGGAACTTGGCATATGTAATCCTTATAACCTAAGGGCGCAAACTATTGAATTTGGTGCATGTCCCGACGCCCAATTTACATGTTTAGCACCCGAAGGGCACAATTCTGAATGGATTATCTTGGAACTTGGTATACTTATTCATTATACCCTAAGGACGACAACTATTAATTTTGGTGCATGATTCCCCCCCCCCCCCCTCACCCTTTGTGCTACACCCACTTTTTGTTTAAAACTTTGTCTGTAAATGATATATAAATTGCAATTATTAACAGATTTGGATCCAATTCGGAATGATCTATCATAGGGTTGTACCTATATATATTGACCCATGTCCAACCCCCAGGGGCTGAGCCACGCCCAATTTTTGTGGGTTTTTTTTTGTCTACAGACTGGAATTCTGAATGGATCATCTTGGAACGTGGCTTATTTATTCCTGTAAGGATAGCAACTATTTATTTTGGTACATGTTCTGACCCCCAGGGGTGTGGTACGACACCCACTTTTTTGTTAATTATTTGTCTGTAAATACTCTACAGGTTGCTTTAATTAACAGATTGTGTTCAAATTTAGCATATCAATCATTTCAATGACAGGGTAGTATCTATTTATATTGTTACAAATCCAACCCCGAGATGCAGAGCCACGTCCAATTTTTGTATTTATCATCTAGAGACTGCAATTCTGAATGGATCATCTTGGAATCTTGCATATTTATTCATTATACCGTAAAGACAGCAACTATATATTTTGGTGTATGCGTCGACCCCCTCCCCCCACCCCCAAGGCTGTGCCACCCCCACTTTTGTTTAATATTTAGTCTCTAAATTTGGCAAAACAAACCCAACGCCTAGCCTTTATTGCCTCCTGTCATATTACAGTAATTTCATATTTCATTCTCTTCATTTTAAAAAGTACCATATCAATGAAAGCAGGAATGTGGGCGTATATTGCAGCGTTAGCGATGCTCTTGTTATATGAGACATGGTGAGAAATTAATTGTGTAAAACTTTCATTGAAATAGAGTGATGTCTACTGGGTCAATATCGACTTCAAATATTAGCAACAAATTGTGAATGTCGTGTTTTCAGTGACATTGTTTCAGAGCAAAGTCACTATAGGAGAAGTCCATCGTAGTAATAACTTTCAACCAGATCTCTGCAATGAACGCCCTTTATGACGCCCTTCTTCCCTCAAGGAACATGTCATCCCTCTTGATACCCCACAGTGTTGGTCCTAATACCTCTGCCTATTGGTTCCTTGCACTGGGATGGTAAGATAAATAATGAACCAGTATGTGAGTGAAGATCATTAATTTTTATCCATACGTGTAGGTGACTTGACTTGTGTCGAGGCACAGATATTCATTCATGACTGGAGAGTGGACACTCTAAGAACTACTGCCATCACTATAAAGTACCAGCGGGGGGGGGGGGACTATGCAGAATTTTTCAATTTGGTAAATTTATACCTGGGAAAGGGAGAAGGTGATTTTACGTTCTGGTTTAATGGATGAGCAAAGCTCTATACGCTACAAAGCTGGTGGATATGCTGGAGACAGAAAATGACAATCTACCGTGTGGTATCCCTGCAGCGCAACAACCTCCATAGATTAGGCAATTCGTGTAATTTGTGGTACTTGTTTATTTCAACTGGTGGGTCATGGGCTCTTGTGTCTCTTGACGCACATATAACCGACCTGAACTTCCTCAAATCTATAATGAATTACGCTAAAATAAGCAGCACTGTTTCCAAGGCTGCAGAATTTGTACCATTGGCATTATTTAATGACAAAGTCGTTAGTGAGGAACTGAGTCAGAAAATGCTGGCACGGTGAAACCAAGCGACAAAGTACTACAAACTCTGCCTGCAGACAGCTACGGAACCTAATTCTCCAGATTTAAGGTCTCAGGAATACTGGTTTATATTCAGAATCTTGAATGTGCAGTGTGACTCTCTATTGGAAGAAGTACAGCACTAGAGAGATTTGGATTCATGCGAAACTTTGTCACTTAAAATAAGTAAATTAAACATAAATAAATCTTTTCCTTGCGAAATTGGCAATTTTAGGGATATAGAGGCCGATCTTTTCAGACCAGCATAATATTGGCCTTCTTTTGATCCTTTCGCGTCGGAGCGTTGACCATTAAGAGGTACCACGAGGAAACACTCTTATATAATATTTGATATTGTTCCTTCATGTGTCCGTGCGTCCGTCCGTTCACATTTGTTTGTGGACACTCTACAGGTCACAATTTTTATCCGATTTTGATGAACTTGAAATGCATGTTTATAACCCAAAGATCTTGGTTCCTTTCGGTATTCGTGTATATTGGATCGTAATTTCCTGAATTTCTTGACTAGTCGAAAAATCGCGTTTTTAGCTAGTGGTCCCTCTAGAGGTCACAATTATTATCCGATTTTAAAAAAAAACCTTCGAATATATCGCCATTATGCCGTAATGATGGTTGAGTTCGAATTTCGTGAAAATTAGAAAAAAAAATGCAGAACAAAATGGCCGCAAATAGTGTTAACATATGGTATATCAAGGTTGTGGACACTCTAGAGGTCACAATTTTTATCCGATTTTGATGAAACTTTAAATTGATGTTTATATTACAAAGATAATCGCACATATCCGAACGTAACTTCCTGGATTATGGCCCCTGATTGTTCGAAAAATCGCATGTGGACTCGCTAGAAGTCACAATTTGTATCCAATTTTTAAAACCGTTAAATTATATCACCGTTACACATCAATGAAGGTTCAGTTCAAATTTCGTAAAAATCTGACCGAAACTGTCAGACAAAATGGCCGATCCTTGTACGCAAATAGTGTAAAAATATGTAATACCAAGGTTGTGGACACTCTAGGAAGTCTCAATTTGTATCCGATTTTAATGAAACTTGAAAAATGTATATTTATAATCTAAAGATCGTGGTTCCTTTTGATATTTGCGCATATCAGACCGTAACTTCCTGGATTTTGGTCCCTCTAGTGGACACAATTTTTTTCCAATTTTAAAAACCGTTTAGATATATCACCATTCCACCCAATCGGATTAAAATACAGATCTATATTTCGTTTCGTTTTTTATACGTCCACATTCATAATGTGAACGTATTATGCCGTCGCCCCTGTCTGTGTGTGTGTGTGTGTGTATGTATGTATGTGTGTGTGTGTGTGTGTGTGTGTGTGTGTCTGTGGTTCGCCTACAGGGCGCAATTCTTCATGGATTTTCTTCAAACTTGGTATACTTATTCCTTATACCCCAAGGAAGATCCCTATTGTTTTTGGTGCATGCCCGACCCCCCGCGGCAGAGCCACGCCCATTTCTAGTATTTGTTTGTTTGTCGTCTACAGGCCACATTTCTTAACTAATAATCTTGAAACTTTGCATACACATTCTTTGTACCCTAAGGAACATCCCTATCGTTTGGGGTGCATGCCCAACCCCCAGGGGCAGAGCCACGCCCATTTTCTTTTCGTGTGTCTTTGTGTCGCCTACAGGGCGCAATTCTTACTGGATTTTCTTCAAACTTGGTATACTTATTCCTTATACCCCAAGGAAGATCCCTATTGTTTTTGGTGCATGCCCGACCCCCAGGGGCAGAGCCACGCCCATTTCTAGTATTTGTTTGTTTGTCGTCTACAGGCCACATTTCTTAACTTATAATCTTGCATACACATTCTTTGTACCCTAAGGAACATCCCTATCGTTTGGGGTACATGCCCAACCCCCAGGGGCAGAGCCACGCCCATTTCCCATTTTCTTTTCGTGTGTCTTTGTGTCGCCTACAGGGCGCAATTCTTACTGGATTTTCTTCAAACTTGGTATACTTATTCCTTATACCCCAAGGAAGATCCCTATTGTTTTTGGTGCATGCCCGACCCCCAGGGGCAGAGCCACGCCCATTTCTAGTATTTGTTTGTTTGTCGTCTACAGGCCACATTTCTTAACTTATAATCTTGCATACACATTCTTTGTACCCTAAGGAACATCCCTATCGTTTGGGGTACATGCCCAACCCCCAGGGGCAGAGCCACACTTTATATACTTATTCTTTGTACCCTAAGGAACATTTATTAATAAGTTATACTCTAAGGACAGGAACTATTGATGTTGATGCACGACCCTCAACGCTAAACAAACCAAAAGCCTAGCCTTCTTGACAAAGTACCTTGTCAATCAAAGCAGAATTGGAATGTGGACGTATATTGTAGCGTTAGCGTTATGTTTTATACTTTCGATGGCCTACACTACATGCAGATCTGACCGGTTGTAGCGATAGGTCGCGTCAGAGGTCATACGACCGGCTTTTGACCCTATGACTGCAGACAGTTGATTAACCAATCAGCATTGACGTTACTAGTGGATTACCAACAATTCCGTGCAAAATACGCCTAAAGCTCGCCGTAACAGACCATTTCATTGGCTAATAGCTCACATCATTCAGAACACGTCAATGTTAACAACTCTTCCTAGTGTAGTAAAGACAAGTAAAATGAAATTTTGAACTATAAAAAACAAAACAAAATAGGATTTGTGTTTTAACCAGATTGCATTCAACCATAATGAAGGTTGAATTTGAATTTCGTGAAAATCGAAATGAAACTGCCCGACAAAATGGCCGCTCTTTGTACGCAAATTGTGTATAAGTATGTAATACAAAGGCTATAGACCCTCTAGAGGTCACAATTAAAACATATCTTTATATTCCAAAAATCTCAGCCCCTTTTGATATTTGCGCATTTCAGAGCATAACTTTCTGGATTATGGCCACTGATTGTACAAAAAATCGTTTTTGTTTTTAGGTTGTTCTCTATCCATCTCTTGCAAAATGTGGGCGTGTCCTGCCTGGCAGCCGCTGGTTTATACTTTGGATGGCCTACACTACATGAAGATCTGACAAGTTATAGTGGTAGTTCACGTCAGGGGTCAAACGCATAAAAAGGCCAAGAACTCGCCGTAACAGACCGTTTTATTGGCTAATTCCCCACATCAAGTAGAACGCCTGTTATATAACTACTCTTTCAGATCCTAGTGTAGTAAAGACAAGTAAAACGAGATTTTAAACTATAAAAACGAAACGAAATACAGATTGCTTTCAGAAATACCCTGAGGATGATTTTTTGTTTAAAATGGTTCTCCATTTGTTATGTTCCCGGTTTAACCGGAAGTTTTTGAACATGTTTGGCTTCCATAATTTGCAATGTCGATAATTTGCTAATTTTCCAGGTTTTGTACTGGAGAAAATATTTACTTGATTAGGTCATGACAGCAGTTGCGTGATTTATGTGCTGCCGCCTTAGTATGGCGGTGAACAGGTTTGGATTTGCCGCCCCAAACCTTGTTCCTTGGCAACTGCACACAGAAAAGATTTGAATAAAATTGAATTCCCGTTCTTCCAGGAACTAATTATTGGCTGCATTTGCCATATCTGTACGGTTATGCAAAATTTATAAATTGTTGAATAATATATCTGTGACCATAAAATGCCAATACTATTCGTATTTTAAAAAGTATTTAAAAAACTTCAAATACCATGTCTTGTGTAAAATCTGTCTTGCGATAACGAACGATTCAGCGGAACGCGCGGTCAAGGTTCTCCCTTGTCAGTGATGCAGGACGGAGGGGCTGACAAGGAAAGCTGTCTAGTCGTTCGGATGGGACGAAAAACCGAGGTCCCGTGTACACATTGGCGTGCACGTAAAAGATCCCTTGGCAGTTGGAATTCGATATAAGAGTAGGCCGTAGTGCCGCTGTCCGGGCAAAATTTCCCTCATAGCACACTGTATGGCGTATGCCCGTCTTCATTAGCCCAGGTTAGGAGCAGAACAGTAGGACGTTAAACTCCATTTCATTTCATTTCATTTCATTTCTATATTACCTTAGCGCCACAAAAACTGAGGACCACTATCAAAATGTGATCGGACACTAAATCCTAACCTACGAAAAAAAAAGAAAACAGTGCGGACTAGTAAACTTACCAGTTACTCAGCAAGTAAAACTCTTATGCCATAATGGTATTTATTTATTTTCCTTTCTATATTGTTAAATACGGTACTGTTAATTTTCAGTACAGACAGTAATAAGCCTGGACATATAGAAGTTTTCATATTTTATGTTGGCTGACTATTTAGGAATAGTTTTATAAAATCCACACTTATGCATTTAAAATGCATTTAAATATAATTTTTTTGTCAATTTCCTTTGGTTATTGATGATATGTGACATATAGTTGGTCAAAATCTGAAAATTTCATGTGGAAACACCGAAAATTTTAAAAGTCAATGTTGACCCAGAAGATATCCAATTCCAATGACATTTTTACATAATTATTTTTTCAGCATGTCTCATAATAAAATCTCCCAACCAATGCGAACTTTTGATATTGGGGCGACTGATGCGGCCTACAAGATCTCTTTTTTCAGCAAATTTAACATTTTTAAATTGTTTTTCAGGAAATGTCGATTTCAAGTTTCCCGCAGCAGTGAAAATGCCTTCGGAAACCCACGCAGCAGAAGATGTCGGAATTTTTGCCACTGGTCCAATGTCTCATTTATTTCACGGTGTCCATAATCAAAATTATATTGCTCATGTCATGGCATATGCTTCTTGTGTTGGTAGTAATAAAAAACATTGTGATAAATCAAGAAATACTGGCATCGATATAAATATAGATAATTCCTTGATAGGGTATCTAATATTACATTACTTACATCAATTCCTGATTAACATAAATCCCTAATATATACATACAATTTATTAAACTATAAATACACACTACAGAGTAATGTAAACAGAATATTTTTGTTTCTTTGTATAATCCAAATACAGATTCACGTAGATAAAGTTATCCATGGTTATTTATTTTTATACGCCCACATTTCAGTGTGGGTGGACTATGTCGTTACCCTGTCTGTCCATCCGTCAACAATTGGATTGTGAACGCGATAGGGGCTAGAGGCTTTGACGGATTCATTTCAAATTTTAAGGTGAATGCGAAAAATCGTGGTCATCAGAGGACCAGCCCTATCGATTTTTAGCGTTCCGCAAAACCCCCTTTTCCGAAAACGTTTTGAACGCGATAGAGCATTAGTTTCCGACGGATTCTTTTCAAATTTGTTGTGAAACATTTTGGTCATGAGAGGACGAACCCTATTGATATTCAGCGTTCTATGACTTTCCGTTCCAGAGTTATCCCCCCATCGCCAAAAAGCTTGTGAACGCGATAGTGGCTACATTTTTTTAACGAATATTCTTTTCGGTTTTAGTTCCAGAGTTATCCCCCCCATCGCCAAAAAGCTTGTGAACGCGATAGTGGCTACATTTTTTTAACGAATATTCTTTTCGGTTTTAGTTGTAGGTATTGAGAGTTGCTCTCAAACAACCATCCTTGAATTTTTGATTAAGTTCAAGGATCCACATCTTCAATAGATGGCTTGATCTCTCTGTAACTCCGTACATCTTATCAAGCCCTTCCCGTAATACCCTGCATATTTCGGCACTAATTTCGATTGGCTACTGACCCAGCTGGGGAATCTGCCAGATTCCTCGATCATCTCGAATACCAAGTCTTGCGCTTTACAACTAAAATGTCTGTGATAATCGAGTGGGAAAGATCAGGGTTCGTCCAATGTCTAAGTTTCCGTGGAGGTCGCCATGTTTGATTTGGGTATGTTTGAGTACCTCTGATTGGACGCCATCGTCAACGTATCTGCGTTTAAGGGAGATAACATAGCTATAAGTTCGGGAATTGCGGACGAGGCTAGCAACGTCTAGACTCTAGATTTTGTAAAACTCGCGGTCATTGCTTCAGGAACATGACAGATCCATAGCCTCGATAGTTCCTACACAGCTTCGCGTTTATTGGCATTGCTCTACAAATTTCAGTCATTTCCTTCACTATGACTGTTTCTGATAATATGGACATAATACCGGGTTTGTGATTTTTTAAAAATACAACGTAATTATAACACTTAATTAAGCATATCTTTTTATATGGGAATTGACATCTCGTTTCGTGTAAACTTTACTAATAGACCAGGAGGTAATGGCAAAATAATATGGTCATCAGTTACAAAAGGTTTGCCCCCCCCCCCCCCCAAAAAAAAAATAATAAAATAAAATAAATAAAATGTAGTGGGTGTCCATACACGTATAATTAATTGGTGAGACTGGGCACTGCTGGGACATACAGTCACAGCAGCACCTTAAAGTACACCTCACGTGGGCCAAATGTTTGGTCATAAAGTACATTATGGCTGAAACGTTTTAATTAGAAGCAAAGGTATCCATAGCTGGAGTAAATATTTCACAACTCTAACCTAAATTTCCGGGACTTTCCCCATGTCAGACCACGCCCAATATCTCCTCACGGGACTAATAATATGGTCATCAGTTATATGGTTGAAACTTAACAGAAACAAAGATCCATACATGTACTTGTAAATATATTTTTCAAACATCTATCCAAAAAGTCAGATAGCTCTAAGTCTGTTTGATTACGCCCTAATAATGGGACTTTTATATGATGTCATCAGTTACATGGGTCATGGGTGAAACATACCAAAACACAGGTCCATACTTGTAAAATATAATTTTCAAAAATCTAACCAAAATCTTGGGGCTTTCCCCAAGTCTATCCGACCACGCTCTAAAAATGGGGCTTTTAGTGAGGTTATCAATTACATGGCTGAAACCTAATATAAATACGGATCAGTGCATGGACAGTGTGTTTTTCGAAAATCTAACCATAAATGTTGGGGTCTTTCCTCAAGTCAGAGTGACCTTTATAACTTAGCCCACCCCACCCCCTCTATATAAAGCTTATAATTATGTAATATCAATAATATCTTTTTTGAACCGCAGCAGGATTTAAAATATTAACACAAAAGTAGAACAAATACTTGAATTACTCATGGAACGCTGAATATCGATATGATCCGTCCTCCCATGACCTCAATGCTTCAAGCTATGGAATCCATTGTCTCCACAAGGTTTTCGGCAAAGGGGATAATTCCTGAACGGACAGTCGCAGAATACTAAAAATCAATATGGTTTGTCCAATTTGAAAAACATCCGTTAAAATCTACAAGGTTTTGTGAAAAGGAGGATACCCCCGGAACGGAAGGTTTGTACTGAGGTGATCACATTGCTTCCCACCAAATTTGAAAAACAGCTGTTAAGACCTATAGCCTCTATTGCATTCGCAAGTTATCGGATAGGGGGGGGGGGTTACTTCTGGAACGGAAAGTTTGTACTCACGTGATTACAATGCTTCCCACCAAATTTGAAATACATCTATTATAATTTTAGTCGTTTGAGGGTTCACAAGGTTCACCAAACTGAAACAAGGGCCTTAACCCAGTAAGTAATGTACAGAAATTCTAGATGTTTTTTTCATTTTGCTAATTCAAATAATGCATATAAATTTCATATATACTCTTCAAAAAAAGTAGGGGATATTGAAATGCATATACCTTTGCAGGTTGTGATATGATAAATAATCATGGACACTTGACATGCTTTGAGAGTATGTTCACAGATGAAGGACTTATCGCCCCAACAGAACCACTGAGCTGCACATGAGACACGCAATAGCACCATACACGTGGGAGGGGGTCATTCTCAAATTTGATGAAAACTGCCGCGTGCAGGTTTATCTATCCATGTTTGCTTTCCTATCGGTTCTTGCATAAGATTTACTGTTTAGCGTATCTTTGCTTTAGTGTGTTACGTTTAATTTGATCGAGAGGCGTGTTCGTCGACGTCAACGTCAACGGACAACACTGCAAGAATTGGCCGTGGCACGGCAAGAGGAGTGGGTCAGATTGCCCCAAATCGTGATTGGACGGTTGATTAGGAGCATGCCACAACGAATTGCTGAATGTCTGAGGATTGGTGGAGCAATTACTCATTATTAAGACAAAAATCAAAAACGTTCATTTTCACTTTTGACGGTGTATCTCTTTGCGAGTGAAATGGGGCCGTCCAATAAGTCGCCCATATGAACTGTTTATGTTCATGTGTAGGCAATTGGCCTGTTATTAACAAACACTGGTTACCTCTAATAAAAACTCCAGTGCATTTTCGCAGTTCTGTATGGTTTCTGAATACCACCTACTTTTTTTGAAGAGTATATATAACTTTTGTCATTTGAACGTTCACAGGGTTCAACAAAGTAAACAATGACCATAACTCTAGAAGTAATTGACAGAAATTGCTGAAATTCAAAAGGCTTCTTCGCTTTACTAATTCAAATGAAGCATAGAAATTCCATACAGATCGGATGATAACTGGTGTCGTTAGAGCGTTTACAAGGTGCAACAAAGTTAGACAAGGGCCATAATTCCAAAAGAAATTAACAGAAATTGCTGAAATTCAAAAGGATTCTTTGTTTCACTAATTTAAATGATGCATTTACATTTCATAGAAATCAGATGATAGCTTTCGTCATTCGAGCGTTCATAAGGTCCAACAAAGTGAAACAAGAGCCATATTACACTATTAGTTCTTCAGGTTCTTGATGCCAACACTGGTTTAACTTCATATATCCATCCCAACATATAATGTACAAGACTCCTTAGTTAATGATTCCTTAGTTAATGACGTCTTAGTAAGTTTGAGTGAGCCCTGGTGTTAACTTAGGCGCTCTGGCCTGGACTCTGACCAACTATACTAACTCAAGTTATCGGCTTGGGATCTATGTGGTCCCAACTTAACTTCTTAACCAACTGATCTCTTCTTTATACCCTTGGCCCTTGTCAGATGTCAAGATGATTACACAGCTGGCTATTACGTAATACTAGATTAGCCTTCTGTACAAATTACTTTACAAGACAACAGACATTACATGAAAATGAATCAACTATCTGTCATAAGTGACAGCTAGCATGATATGGATATTAATTTTAATGCCGCTTTCATGTGTCTAAGGTGGCAAATGATTTACCTTTCCCATATCCCCTATTGTGTAACATTATAAATATAACTCCAAAAGAAATTAACGGAAATTGCTGAAATTCAATAGGATTCTCCGATTCACTAATTTAAATGATGCATATGAATTTCATACAGATCGGATGATGACTTGTCGTTAGAGCGTTCACAATGTTCAACAAAGTGAAACAGGGGCCTTACTCAGACGTAATAAACAGAAATTGCTGAAATTAAATTGGCTTCTTGGTTTAACTAAAATGATGCATATAAATTTTATAGAGATCGGATAACTTTTTTTCAAATTGAAACAAGGGCCATAACTCCAGAAAAAAATTAAAGGAAATTGTTGACATTAAATAGGATTCTTCATCTCACTGATGTAAACAAAATATATTAATTTCAAAACAATCAGATGATGAATGTATTCTGTAGAGTGTTCACAAGATATTGTGGACAACGGGCATAGGCGACAGTGATATACAACCATAATTCCATGTGGTGTATAAAAAGATATATTCGGATTTATCCATATACCTGAAGCAACGGCCCAAGAAATCCCTCTCTGGCCATTGCTGGATTGGCTTCTGATACTTGAGCTTTTAAGCGAGTTTGTCTATTCTTCCCGCTCAATCAAATCTATCCCAAGTACAGCAACATGACCACCCTTCGTTTAATCTAGGTCTTCCCTAAAACTTTAGACAGAAATTTAAGGTATTAAAAACGGTGAAAGTATGTTCGTCATTGTTTACATCGTTTTCGATTTGATAGCCTCGTTTGTCACGCAATTAGTTTTTCTGCAATATTCTGCTATGCACTGGTTAATTGGGCATAATAAAATCGTGAGTCATGACGTAACATTATGTAAACATATTTGGTCCAATTTGGAG